TTATCTTTATATTTACTCAAAAAATAATTCTTATGTTTCTACCCTATCTCTAGTGTCTTTAAAGAACACCCACCTCCTGACCACCAACCTGTGACACTAAGCACATTGTGGAAGTAGAGATGCTGTCTCCAGTTCCCTTGTTAATTCCTTATGTCCATGCCAAGGTGCAGATAATCTTTTCACATATATTGATTGCATAACTACAAATGTTGGACATTTGATTTCTTACAGTCTCCAAATGTAGGTACATCTGGCTAGAAATATTATTATTAGGATTTCTAAAGTGATTTCCAGCATCCTGGAATGCTGATATACAGAGAAATCTTATACTGTCCCCAGCGGTATTTCATCTTTGCTTCTGATCTATCATAGTTTTCACTAACTCATCCAGAGTCCACATTCCCTTAATGTCCCAGATTTACACCACATTCTTGATTATTTTCCTCTATTACCACAGATATCTTTTTATGTCATATTTTTATTATTTCTTACTTGCACTGTTCAATCGTCTTAATAGCAGTTGATCTCACCTGATGATGTATCCAATGTACATGATTCAGACAGTGGTCTATTATGATCCATAAGGGTCTCATTGGCTAGTTTTTGGAGGTAAGTTGCCAGATTTTTCTTTTTAGTTTCTTTTAGTCTAAAAGCTCCATTAAAGCCTCTCTGTCATGAGTAATAGTGTTGGCATTTTGAATAGTTATTACATAGCTTCCACAATGTCAGCTACATGCAAACCCCCAGATTATGACACTTTTTACTTACTATATGCAATTTAATTTTCTTAAGAATCCTGGGAAATACTTGTTAATATTGTCACATTTTTTCAGATGAGGTACTATTCAAAATTATAACACCACAGAAACTGCAACAGCAAGAATCATCAGCAAAAATGAACAAACAAGAAATAAAAAACAAATTAAGTCAAGAGTTGAAAAAGAAAAGATTTAAAAATAAATACACATATAGAATTCTCAGTTTATACATAAATTGCTTGTCAAAAGTGTGTTCTTCATTGCCCAAAACAAAACAAATGAAACAAACAAACAAACAAAAAAATAGAGGAATTGAGTTTTGAAAACAAACATAGTTTCCACTATGATACCAGAAGAAATAGTCATGAATTTTCCATTACCTTTTTGAAGTCTTTACAGCAAACTAAATGTCTGTGTGTTAACAGTGGCATTCCTATATCTATTTAAAACAGTACAAAATGAAGAAAAACGGATAAATGGGATAAAATTTTTGAAATGTGTTTAATCCTCTTGTGAATTGGAAAGGCACAGATATAAGTAAATTAAAGCCTGCTATTCGTAGTTTCTCACTATCTTTTCTTCTAAGACTATATGCCACTTACCCCTGCATCACACTCTACTTTGAAATCCTTATGCCTGCTGCTAAGAAAGTGTTCTCTTAGAAAATATTTTGGGGTCCATCTTTTTCCTGATAGCTTCTTTTACATCCTTGTTTCTCAGGCTATAGATCAGGGGGTTCAGCATGGGAATCACAATAGTGTAGAACACTGTGGCTATCTTATCTGTGTCTACACTGTTGCCAGAGTTGGGCCAGCAATAAATGAAAAGAACTGTTCCATGGAAGATAACAATGGCTGTGAGATGGGAGGCACAGGTGGAAAAGGCTTTGCGCCTTCCCTCTGCAGAGCGCATCCTCAGGATGGTGATGAGAATGAACAGGTAGGAGGTGAGGATGACCACGATGGTACTGATCTCATTGAAAGTGGCCAGAATGTACAGCAGCAGTTCATTCACAGAGACATCAGAACAAGCAAGAGATAAGAGAGGAGATATATCACAGAAGAAGTGGTTAACCACATTGGATCGATAGGACAGGATCTCCAGAGTTAAACACGTGTGAATCAGAGAACACACTGTTCCGCACAGATAGCAGCCAGACACCAGCTCCACACAGAGCTTCTGGGACATGATGACCATGTAGAGCAGGGGCTTGCAGATGGCCACAAAGCGGTCATAGGCCATCACGGCCAGCAGGATGACCTCAGTGACCAAACATGTGCAAAACAAGTAAAATTGTACAGTGCACCCCACAAACGAAATGGCTTTGTCCTTCTTTAGCATATTGTCCAGCATCTTAGGCACAATGATGGTGGAGTAGCAGAAATCCACAAAGGACAAGTGGCTGAGGAAAAAGTACATGGGGGTGTGAAGCTGAGAGCTGACCTGAATCACCGCAATCATGCCCAGGTTTCCCAACACTGTGACTCCATAGATTAGCAGGAAGAGTAGGAAGAGGAAGATTCTCAGCTCAGGAATATCTGATAATCCAAGGAGAATGAACTCTGTCACCATAGTACAGTTTTCCTTATCCATCTCACAACTTTATTAAGGTTTGGAGAAAATAAACAAATGAATTGAAAGCTACTCTGTGATTCTGTGGTCCAAAATTCAGATCTGGCTCTCTCCTAAAAACCAGACATGAGAAGAAGTGGGAAGATAATTTTGGCAGTTGAGAAATGAGACATTACATTTTTGAAGTTTAAGAAAAGTTCAAACATTGTAAACTATGGTTGCATAAAGGTCTCAGTTTGGTTCACAATTCATACAGAAACATTAACATCTACAGAAACCTATTATGATTCTTTAAACCCGCATTCTATAACTTAGACATTAGAACTTAGTCATTAGAAAGAAGGTAAAGTATTACTTCATTAGCCTCATTGATCTATGGAATTCAAATCTCTTTCTCCTGTCAAAGTCTACAATCAATTTCCCAAATATTAGAATGACAGAAAATAACTTCAAAAATATGTAGCACTCTTCTTTGAGTTTTCCATTGAAGCGATGCTATTTAATTTGCTATTTAAGATTACTAACTCACAAGTGTTCATTTTTGTCAAGATGTTTAGATGGAAAATATAACTTTTCTAAGAAATTGTTGTGCGGTGCCACGGAGTGAGCTCTAACTCATAACAACCTCACGCACAGCAGAACACAAGGCCGTCTGTCCTATCCTTGCTCCCATCCTTGCAGCCGCGGTGTGGGTCCATCTCCTTGGAGTATTCCCCCTTTTCAATGACCCGCTGCTTTACTAAACATGACATCCCTCGGAAAGGACTTGCCCTCCTGACAACGTGACCTAAGTAGGTGAAACAAAATCTATCCATTTTTCCTTCTAAGGAGCCTAGTAGCTGCACTTCTTCCAGGAAAGATTTGTTGGTTCTTCAGGCAGTGTAGGTATTTTAGTATTCTTCACCAAAGCAAGTCAAAGGCTTAACTTTCCTTTGGTCTTCCTTATTCATTGTCCAGCTTTCATGTGTATATGAGGCAATTGAAAACACTTTGACTTGACTCAGGCTTATCTTAGTCTTCCAGTGTGACTGCTCCTTAACCACTGCAGACCCCCTGGCAATGGAGGAAGGCGCCCTCTCAGCCTGCAGGACTTCTTGAGTTGAGAATTGGAATTCCATCCTTCCTAGAGTCTTTTGGCTTAAATGTTGTCTTTTGAATTTGAATGCTTGACACCCCAGGAAGGAGGAGCAGGCGTGCCAGGCTCCTGGTCTTTCCAGTTTAGAAAAGGCTCCTGCCAGGGAGGGGCCATAGGAGCCCTGGCCTGCTGGCCTCAGTCTTTATCCCCATTTGCTCCTTAACCTTAACCCTTTAAAGCAATCTTTTGCAGCAGATTTTCCCAGTGCAATATGATGTTTGATTTCTTGACTATTGTTCCAAGGGTGTTGATATCAGATGATATTTTACTGCTATTCATAAAGTTTTCCTGTAATATATCAGACAGTGTTTCATTGTTATTCATAAGAGTTTCAGTGGCCAGGTTTTTCAGAAATGGATGATCCCATCTTTCTCAGTCTCTTAGTCTAGAAGCTGCACTGAAACCTTTCTCTCCACCACGGGTGACACTGCTGGTACTTGAAATACTAATGGCACAGTTTTCAGCATCACAGCAACACACACGGCACCATAGTACAACAAACGGACAGACAAGTGGTGGATCCACACAGCCAGATATTTTACATGTTCTTCCATTGGTTTTAAAAGATGAAGGATATGTGAGTTAAGAAACCCCAGTGAAAACAAGTAATGGTTCTGATCCTTTCTATAAATTAACCTAATGATTTTGCTATTTGCAGTATTTAATCTTTGTTACGGTTCATGGATTTGGATATTCTCAAATATTAACTTCCTTTAACTGTATCCCCAACAAAACCAGTTTAATAGTGAATTTCACTACTTTTAACTTATTAAAAAAAATTTTCAAAGATGTGGATTGGAAATTATTAACAAAAGTACACACTGCTGCATTGCAACATTATTTATGATATTAAAACTTAGAAGTAAAAGAAAATGGTAAAATTATGGCACTTATATATCTCAAGAACTATCTCCTTTCCTTTCTTTTTTTTTTTTTTTTTTCCTTCCCTGGCATGTAATAAACACATACACTGTTGTGGAGATACCAATTGGGTATTTGCTAACCAGAAGGCTGGCGGTTCAAACCCACGAGCCACTCCTCGGAAGGAAGGTAGGGGAATCCTACTTCTGTAGTGATACTGCCTTAGAAACCCAAGGAGGGGTCGCTATGAGTCGGGGCCAACTCAACTCAAGGGCAAACAACAACAACAACAACAGAGGAAAGATAATCTAGATACCAACACTAGAAACAAACATGCCAGATATTTTCCCCATTGTTCAACAGATTTAAAAAGATGATGGATATGTGAATTAAGAAACCCCAGTGAGAATAAGAAATGATTCTGATATGATTTTCTTTTCCATGGACAGTTATTTACTCTATCTGACTTCATAGGAGTACATAATGTTGATGATCATTTCCTGGTTTCAGCTCTAAAGGTGAAAAACTAGGTTGTTGATCACCCAATGAATATTGATTCCAACCTTTGTATGATTTTGATATCTGTGGATATTGACAACATCTAGAGATGTTTTTCATTGTCACAAGGGGGGCTGGTGGGGTTTGACTGACATCTAATGGGTAGATGTTAGGGATAGTATGATGCACCAGACAGCCCCAATATCTCAACAAAGAATTATCTAACCCAAATATTGATAATGCTATGGTACAGAAACTCTGTCTTGGAGAGCCATTTCAAAATGCTATGCACAAAGTCAAATCATTCTTGTTTCTGCTCCAAAGGTAGGTCACATGTCTGGGTCTCTCCACGAACTGTCCAGAGGGCCTTTTACTTCCATCCTCACTATCAAGAAGACTGTCAGGAGAACCTCCATGTGGTCTTTACCAAGTTTCATGGGTGGAGTTGGTTTGAGAGGAGGAAGAGGAAAAGAGAGAGAAAACAAGCATTCTTCCTGTTTCATTGATAGTGTTTTTTGCTCTCATGCTAATAGCTATGATAGGATATTTAGTCTGCAGATTAAATAGTTCCAATTTCCCTTCCAGATTGTCAGATCATGCTCAAAGAGAAAGATATTTTCATAAAGAAGTGATCAAACCATGGGTCGTCTTAAAGCATTCTCTAATTAAGAAAAGGCTACAATATTTTTAAAAAATCGCTAATGCTACTTCCTCCCCACTTACACTTCCCCTTCTCTCATATATGACAATAGTGAATTATCTCCATGAGAAAAATAAGAAAATACAAACAAGCTTCCAGATCACTAGAAACATCATTCATGTACACATTCATGCAACCAGACTGTAGTCTAACCAACCAACCTGTGAGACAGATATAGCATCCACTTTTCTGAAGACGGTATGATGGAAACTATTACAGGCTTTATGTTTTCTTTGGGTTTTCCTAAGGCCTATCTTCCTTAAGCTTAATGAACCAAGTATTAATCTCTATGGAATATCAACAAGAAATCAAGAAAACTACTCTATCTCGGGAATCAAGCATTCATTGTTCTCCATAAAATATAAATCCCTGATGGTACAAACAGTTCAGTGTTTGGCTGCTGGCTGGGGGATTGGTACTTTAAATCCACCAGAGAAACCTTGAAAGCTCTGACAAATCTCCTCCATACCAACTGATGTTTGTTCAGAATCTACTCATTAGCAGCTGGTGTTTGTTGTTTATGAAACATAAACAGGGAGAGAAAAACAAACAAACAAAACTACCCCAATTTAGAACTAAGAGTATCACAAGTATCATAGTCCAACAAGATTTCCTCCAGAATTCATTGTGAATTACAAAATTTGTATGCCATGTCTGTCTCTGTGAGCTAGATACGAAATATATGATGAGGTCTTATAAACAGGGCCTATCTTATACTCAAAGAAGCTCTGTGGCTAAGATATTATATCTTATTGTTGTTATTATTTTGCCATCGAGTTGGACCTGACTCATAGTGACCCCTCCTTGGGTTTCCAAAGCAGTATCACTCCGGAAGTAGATTGCCCAGCCTTCCTTACAAGGAGTGGCTGGTGGGTGCTCTGGTGTAGTGCCTAAGGCACTTGACTGCTAACCAGAAGGCTGGCGGTTCAAACCCACCAGCCACTCCTCGGAAGGCAGATAGGGCAATCTACTTCTGTGGTGTTACTGCCTCGGAACCCGAGGAGGGGTCTCTATGAGTCGGGTCTGAGTCGATGGCACATAACAACAACAACAACAACCAAAAAGTTGGCAGTTCAAACTCACCAGCTGATCTGTAGAAAGATGAGACAGCCTTCTTCTGTAAAGATGTACAGCCTTAGGAACCCTATAGGGCAGTTCTAGTCTATCCTATAAGGGTGATATGAATCAGAATCAATTTGATAGCAGTGGGTATTTTTTTTGTTGTTTGTTTGTTTTTGGTCTTACACTCAAATGCTCCTTCCTGGAGGGAATAGAGTCTAAACTCACACTAGAGTTCCATCATGTACCAGAAAGAGGTAGGAATGATAAATGTCCTTTAATGAGAATAATAGCAATTGCTCAGATTTATTGAGTACTTTCTATATGCTACATAGTGTTCTGAATGCAAGTATTAACTCACTTCACTCTTCTAAAAATAAAATAAAAACTAATAGTACTATTATTGTGTCTCCTTTGCAAAGTAGGTGACTTGCCCAGAGCCAGAGCCACGTGCAGAATCACCTGTGGGAAGAGACCACATGCTGCTTTTGATTTGTATCACCCAATGACTGAATGAGGAAGAGGAGAGTTACAGTAGCCTTGGGATGGCACAAGCCCTAGGAAAAATTTTCTGTGTTAGAAGCCATTAAGTGAGACAACCTCAAGGATCTCTCCAAGGGCTGCTCCTTTTCTGACTATATAATGTCTTATAATGTCTACTTAAACTAATAGTGTTGACATTGTGATATGTGTGGCCCCAGACATACCTAATATTTCAGGACTTCCATGGATGAATGAACTTCAATTGAATCAGGTTTTAAGTTCTCAGCAAATATATATATGTGTTTTCCTAAATGTGATCAATCTGAAAATGCCGACTTTGAGGAGTATTTCTAGTTCTCCTTTCTACTAACACTTGCTCAAAATTCCTTTACTGTCGCTTTTCAAAACCAAGAGATTCTGCCTACACAACTACATCTTACTATGTGAGTTAACCTGATAAAAAATAACAAATGAAGGCAAATCTCCAAACCTAAATCAGAAGGACAACTTGGAAAACTGTTACCCGTGAAGGCTGAAGTTTTCTTTAGGACATCTCAAAGCCGTGATATGTTTTTTTGTTTCTCTTAGGTGTATACATATTCCCTTCCATGGAAAAGAATGGAATTTAACATGTATTTTAACCCATACGTGTTGAACTCGGATATATAGTAGTGATGATAATACTTGTTCAATATCTATTATTTTTCCTCCTAATGCAATCTCAAATTAGTGTTATAGAATGCATCCCTCCTAAGGGAGAGAGTCTTATGATAACAAACCTCAGAGAACATCTAGGGAAAAAAAAGTTGGAAGGGATGCTTTATATTGTCTGAGCAAACTATTCACAGAAACCTGCCTTGCTTATATATTTGTCTTAGATTTAAAGAGATATGAGTGTAGTTAAAGGCTGATTTTAATTTAAAAATGAATGGTATTAATATTGTGGATAGGAGGAGCTATGGTGGCACAGTGCCTAGGACATTTGACTGCTAACCAGAAGGCTGCAGTTCAAACCCACCAGCCACTCCTCAGAGGGAAGATTGAGCAATCTACTTGCCTAGAGATACATCCTCAGAAGCCCAAGGAGGGATTTCTATGAGTCAGAATCAACTTGAGGGCAGTGAGTTTGGTTTCTTTAATCCATAAATCAAGTAATCTAAATGTGAATCTCCAAGCTCTTCATGTAACTAAGTTTAAAGCATATAAAATAATATAATTATAGTGAAATATTATATTGGTGAGGTCCAATGAAATCCACAACATTTTAATTATATAAACTCTTTAAATATGTTCTTTTAAATCAAATAAATGTCTCTCAGTGAAAGAATGGCAGATATCTTAATTGTCATATGATGAGCTTTGAGAAATTATTTTTGATAAGCTTCCCAGAAATGGAGAAAGCAACTGATTCTAATGACCACTCAGAAATGTCTCTGTTAAAACCACAACGATTTATTACTTCTCTCTATAGCATGGGTTGGGTGGGCAGTTCTGAGGGTCTGGTCCAAGGTTGGCTGATCTTGGCTCACCGTCAGTGTGTGAGACCAGCTTGTAGGTCAGCTGATGTAAGGGTCTTTCATTATCAAGTCTGGCTGTGGCCTAGATGTCAGCTGGTATGATTGGGAGGTGGCTGGGTGGCTGGGTTATGTTTCTCTCATTATCCCATCAAATAATCTGTGTTTGTTTATGTGGTAGTTTCATAGGATTCCAAGAAATTGTGCAAAAGTCTCAAGTCCTCTCAAAGTGTTGGAACTGGCACAGTGTTACTTTGGCCACCATCTGTTAGCCAAATTAAGTCACAAGAGTAGGCTAGATTCAAGGAGTGGTAAAAACTTGTTCTGCCACTTGATGTGAAGAGCTGCAAAGGTCATGGATACAGGAAAGATTGGAGGTTATGGGCAATGTTTGCAACCTACTGCACTGGATAGCAAGTTAGCAAGTCCTTTGGAAAGAAATTTCATTTCCAAAATGGTAGTTTTGAAAATAATCCAAAAGCTATCTAATTGTGTTTAATGCTTTACTAAAAGTAATTTTTGATGAAATATCAATGTAAGAAATGGGCACACACTTTGAATGCAGCTGAAATAATTGAGTGGCTTTGTTGCTGCAACACAATTTCAATGGAGTTTCTATCTATTCAGTTTCTGTCTCCATTTGTTTATAATGTGATCAAGCTTCCCCAGAATTTTCATTTATTAAAAAACAAAAATCTGAACTTATTGTCTTCTAGTACTGCATTGTTTTTCCGTGGTGACAATAATCAAAATTAAAAGTCCAAACCTATTCTTCCCGTTAAAAAAAGATTTCCAATAATTTTTTTTAATTCTAACCAATCACATTTACACTTGTAAATACACAGAGAAATAGAAGTCAAATAAATAAAAAACCTCTCATCAGATATTCAATAACCAAAATAATGTTTCCTACATTTTAATCTTTTAATATATAATAATCATTTAATTTCTTATTAAATAATGCATAATATTGAAAACGATAATTAATAATAATAAGTGAAAGCATATGACAATCCCAAATTATTTTTGAGCTCATATAAAACTGCTACCCAGATTATATTTTTCTCTCTCTCAAAACAAATATCAGATATTATTTCCATCACTATATTGCTGATTTTTTGGAATAGAATGTACAATTTGTCAAGGAAAGGTGAGTTATTAGCATGAGATATTTGATATTTTGAATTTACCAAGATAATTATATCAAGATGCTAATGACTAAGGATGACTAATAAAATGACAATAATGTTATTATTTTATTTATTAATTTTAGTAAGTTTATGAAAACAATTAATGTTCATCCTATATGGAAACTGCATCACATTTTATCATGGTGGATGAAAGTTCTGTTGAGAAGGATTCAGAAATTATGCCCATGTTCCAAAAAACAGATGAAAATAAAAATACATAAATAAAGTATATATAACATATGTGGTGGCTGGGTGGGCAATATAATAGCATGAAACACAAATTAGGCAGGCACTCATTATCTGTATATTTTCCATATATTGGTTTTCTGAGACACATTTCTAAGCCTTCAGTACAACCTATCAAATTTACTACTTACGCGGGAGCTCTTTTGAAAACACATTCAGGATATAGACATTATTTAGTTGACTTTGCATTCATGCCAAAGAAACTTGTATATAAGATTCCACATACCTATACAGATGCAAAAACACACACTATTCACAATTCATGATAATAAATTGACTCAGTATTGCATTCTTATTTCATTGAGTTTGTTCATTCTAGTTTTCCCTGAATAAGATGCTTTCTTCACTGAAATGGGTCTTCTAAAATCCTGTCCATTCTCCAGGCCAACTTCAAACAATACCTCTTTTATGGAGACATATTTCCAACTTCCCTGGATTAGCTGAAAATGGATTTCAACTATTCCTTTCCCCAAAATTTCAATGATATTATTATAGTCAGCCTCTTTCTTTATTTCCTCACCATCACCATTAGATTAGGCAACCCTTCAAGGCACAGTCTGAGTCTTATCTTTCCTGCATTTGTAAATTTGTTTGGAAAAAACACCTGTTTCTGGAGAACTTGCTATACTCAAGGTATTTCATAAGAAAGTGGGATATATATTATCTTTTGGTCTTCGTTATCAGATTATGACCTAGCTCATGTTATTATACTTTCATGGATTTAAAACTATAGATAAGAAAGATTGCTGATCTTTTCCTGCAATTAAGGACAAAGCCAAGTTTAGTCTCTTTGAACCAAAATCCACATCCTGATCAATGTGCAATATTAACTATAAACTTTTAAAGATAACTTTAAACACAACCTTTTGCACATGCTTTATTTACAAGTAAGGGACAAATTCTACTAAAATAATATGCTCAATGAGAAATGACTTTAGGGCCTAGTATCTTGCTGACTGTATTCTTGACGTCCTTATTCCTCAGACTGTAGATCAAGGGATTCAACATAGGGATCACGACTGTGTAAAACACAGAGGCTACCTTGATGGTATGCCTGGAGTTTTTGGAGTTGGGCACACAGTAGAGGAAGAGAATGGTTCCATGGAAGATGGCAATAGCTGTCAGATGAGAGGCACAGGTAGAAAATGCCTTACGGCGCCCACTGGCTGAATGCATTTTCAAGATGGTGACAACGATAAACACATAAGACGTGAGAATGATGAGTAATGTAGTCACCTCATTAAAAGTGGCAAAGATGAAAAGCAGCAACTGGTTGAGGTAAGTATCAGAGCAAGAAAGAGAAAGAAGTGAGGAGAACTCACAGAAGAAGTGATGAATTGTGTTGAAACCACAAAAGGACAATTTTAAAGTGGAGCATGTGAGTATCAAGGAACATGCTACACCCCATGCATATGATCCAACAACCAGCATGGCACAGAGTCTCTGGGACATTGCAACTGTGTAGAGCAAAGGGTTACAAATGGCCACAAAGCGGTCATAAGCCATTACAGCTAATAAAAAGGATTCAGTCACCACAAAGGTACAAAAGAAAAAGAATTGCACTACACATCCTAAAAATGAAATGGTCCTGTCTTCTACAACGAGGTTCATCAGCATGTTGGGAGCAACGATGGAGGAATAGCAGAAATCAACAAATGAGAGGTGGCTGAGGAAAAAGTACATGGGGATGTGCAGTGTGGGGTTAATTTTGATGATGACAATCATCCCAAGATTCCCTACAACAGTGACACTGTAGGTGGCCAGAAAAACCAAGAAGAGGGGGACCTGCAGTTCCGGGTAATCTGAGAAGCCCAGAAGGGTGAAAGTCACTCCACTTTTATTTCTCTCTGAAAATAACATGGCTTCCGTTTGTCAAAATATGAAAGTCAGCCCTGGAAATAAAATACATATATATTTATTTATTAAAGAGAGTGAAGACAGAGGAAATTTGGTCAACTATCACTTGCCAAGAATGGAAAATAGATCTTTCAGAATTTTTTTAATGTGTTTATAAATGAAGATATGCTAAATTTCTATAATATAAAAACATGAGAACTCTTACTGAACTGAATTTTGTTTAGATTCTCAACTCTAACTTTTGGACAAAGCACTTTCAGTTCTCCTTGAATATCATAAGTTCGTAAAAGACTTGCCTATCTTGATGCAGTGACAAATAACATCAGTTTTCCGGTCCATAACAAAAATCAGAAATATCTAAAATTAGGTTTTTTTAATTGTTACATAACATGTACACACTATGATATAAAGAATGGTCACAATTAATGGTCCCTTTTGTGTATACCACTTGGATCTTGATGTTTTTCTTTCTGACATGTTGTTGTTGTTGTTATGTGCCATCGAGTCAGACCCCACTCATAACGACCCCTCCTTGGGTTTCCGAGGCGGTATCACTATGGAAGTAGATTGCCCAACCTTTCTTCTGAGGAGTGGTTGATGGGTTTGAACCGTCAGCCTTCTGGTTAGCAGTCAAATGCCTTAGGCACTATGCTACCAGAGCTCCCATAGTAAATCTAATATTAAAATAAATCTTAATTATTTTTAACAACCTGGGTGGTGTCAACGGTTAATGCACTTGGCTACTAACTGAAAGATTGGAGGCTCCACTCCATCCAAAGGTGCTTTTGGAAAAAAAAGAAAAAAAAAAAAAAAACCTGTTGATCTACTTCTGAAAAGTCAGCCATTGAAGACTTTATGGAGCACAGCTCTGCCCTGACCCTCATGGGATTGCCATGATTCCAAGCTGATGATAACATTTGTTTCTTTTTTTCATTTATGTTTTCGAATAAGGGGATCCTAATTTTCAATTCCTAATTGCTTGAGGAATAAAAAATTGGAACAGCTGTTTATCTAGAGGTGGCATAATAGAAGTCAGAAGAGACCTTGGCATCCCAGTGACACTCAGATAAGGACCAGTCTAACATCCCCAGACATGCATCCATTTCTGTACCTAGGCACTGACCTTTCTCTATTTCATAAGTCTATCTACTAATGTATTTATTTTGTTAATAATCAGCCCCTTTAGTCTGTGAGCAAATAGAGAGTCTAAAACTATGGGAAATATTCCAATGACGCTACTGTGTGCCACGAAGATAACTAGATAGCAGTAACCAAAAGCAACAGGAGAAAGAGATTTAGAGCTGTTTTCACTCCAGGATAAAATAAAGAATTTTTGATTTAGAAATTTCCTTTCCCAGAGTTCTTCTGATTCATTTCTCTTTCCTTAAGACACCTAGGATACTCATTCTGTTCCGGCATTATGTGTGTAGACGATTTAAAAACACAAAGTAGTACGGGAGAGTGAAGACATTTCATGAGAAAGCAGTGATACAAACAAATTATTTTAGTTCTGGAATTGGTGTCCAACAGCTCTCAGATCCCACCATACTGGCAAACTCTTACTTTCCATGAAAGTTTTCTGGTAAGGTTATCTCTAATTCTGAAACCAAACAAATCATTTTCTGATGGCCCAGGAGATATAAGGTCCTGTGCCAGAATGAAACACTCAATGGCCCTATCTTGTTGTTATATAAATCTGAGTGTTAAAGACAATCTCAAAAGGCAAGCTCTTACACAATTAGTCATTCTAATCAGTACATTTTTTTTTTCTTAACAGCCTATTTCATTTAACTAAAACAATTAAGACTTAATTTTAATCTATGTCTTTGAACTAGTGATTTTCCTGTCCCAGATGCTGATATTAAATTGA